AAATGAAAAAAATTATTGACGTAATTAACCATAAACATATCAATATATTATACATGATTACATTATTAATTTATAAATACTGTACATGACAGTTTTGTTCTTGTGTCTCGTGATGATTCTTTCAAAATGAGTTTTCATCTCTTGTAAGTATATATATATATATCTTTCAGAAACAACTAGAGAATTAATTAAGTAAAACTTCAATCTTCAGAACGAGAGAGTTCTTCAACATTTCAACTTGTAGAACTTCTAAGGTTTTTTAATTTATAGAGAAGAATAGAAAAACACTCCTGAATTTGGCGCAAATTATTAGTTTTAGTTTGTCTTTGAACTATTGATAGCATTAAAAACATCCTTCTACGTACTTTACTATCTAAACTTAGATACACCCCAATCTGTCACATGATATAACAAGTGGTCTCAAACTTTTGTAAAAGCATAGTGTTCTTAATAAAAAAACGAGAGTAGTATTGAAAACATTCATAATTATCATTTCCTTTACATTATTAATGATCGTTCTATGTAATTTTGTATGCAAGATAATATAATATTTTTATTTTAATGATTAATATATTTTAAGTATTATTTTATAAATTCTGTCATATTAAATTTCTGCGCGAGGCACAGGTAATTTTACAATATTACAACTGAATGGGGAAACGAAGATGATAGGTGAAACATGCACATATATAGAAACTATTTTTATTTGTATTTCACATCAACTCGGTTATTGGTCTTTCTCGAGATTTTGAATTGATAGTTCTTTCCAAAACAAGAAACAGTATCTATTAATATTTTACTTGAAAATATGGACACATCTTACCTCGTTTAATTTGTGGTTGTCTATTTTATACTATATATTGTTGGACGCGTGTCGCGATGTTCGTAGGTGTAGAAATAAAGATTAAAGACTATGACATAATTATAAAATGACAATTACGTAATTTTGTTTGAGTTTAAGCTACTCCCTCCATTCACTTTTACTCGTCACATTTCACTTTTAAAAAAGTTAATTTAACTAATTTTTGAAGTTAAGTTAAATTAAATTAATTTAATATTTTATGATTAAAATTTATATGTTCCAAAACAATATAAAAAATACTACAGTATAAACTATAATTCTTCTTATATTAATACGATGAAAAATATATCTTAAAATTAAATGTTGGCTATAATTCATGCAGTTGAATCTCTTAAAGTGAAACGTAACAAGTGAAAATGAACCAATGGAATAGACAATTACACTATTAGTGTAAAAATAATTATACCGCCAGATTACATTTATCTGCTGGAACACTAAGTTATTTTCAACATTATAAATCCCTCAATTTAAGGAGGATGCTTTAAATGACCTGGACAGAGTGTGTAACTTAATTGGAGTCCAGTAAAAGGAATAGCTGGAATTAACTTTGTCCATGCCTCACGTTTATAATGTCACGATTTAGTATTCTAATTAATTAGTCAAATGATGGAGGAGTACTAGTTTGTGAATTTGAAAATCATATGAAAAAAAAAACAGGAGGACATAACAACGTGAGAACAGTCTGCAGACAACTTGGGAAAAATTTGCTACTCATTTCTTCTCTTCCTAATTATGGATAGGATTTGACATTGATAGCACGTCTGTCTTCAAGTTTCCACCAAACTGGCCATGATTTCTGGACTATTATTGGTTCCCATAACTAACTTGGTTCAACTTGTTATTTCTTTAATATATTGTTCGACAATTAAATTGTTAAATCTATTTTCTTTCTTTTTATCTGTGAAAAATAAATTTTCTATATATATTTGAAAACTAATGGTTGTGTCTGAAGGTTCATGTTAAATGAAGAAATATCAATTAGCTTCAATTCTATAATTTTTGGGATTAAATAGAATGTTATAAAGCAACTTTTAGCGGCAATAAATAAACACATTAATAAAGAGTGTTGAAGTATTTAACGATATTAGTTAAATGTCATTAGATCCAATGTTGTTAAAGGCTTTAGGGATATATACAAAGAGTGTTAATTGCCGCTAAAATATATATTTAGCAGTAATTGAACTATTGCCGTTAAAGATTATTTTTAATGTAGTGTACTGATGAAGAAAGTTGCAAAATGTGAAAAATCTAATGTAGTAGGAATATTGTGATCATTACATCTTGATTTAGATGTCTAGGATTCAAGTGCTTTAAATTAATTCTCTTACTAACGAGTGTTTATTCGACTCTCTTATTGTACATATATAAATAAATCTCGATTAATCGGTTAGCTAGTGATCAGTTTTGCATAGCGAATATTGAAAGTCAACAATGAAAAGAAAAGGTAAAAGCTACATGGCCGGTGTCTACATCCTTAATTAGGAGAGTTGCATTATGATATTATGTTGGTTGAAGAAAATATGTAGTACATTGTATTCCAAAGTTTAAGGAATCTTACTGCATGTTCATACCAAACCTAGTAGTTATATCATATATGTGACATGTGAGTATGGATAGCAGCTCACTTCAAAAGTATATATATTTGTGTTAGGGTTTTTCACTGATTTTTTTTCTTATTTGAGGTTTATTTTTTTTTCTTAAAGAAAAGTCGAAGTATTACCATAAATGCTTGAACTTTTTCTGAAAGAAAAATATAATTTTTCTTCCATATTTGGTTTATTCTTTCCTTGGAGGAAAAATTTGGAGATCTATAAATTGAAGATCATTATTCTCATAACATAACACAATAGAATTCACAATGTAGACATTTAAGAGTTTTGCTTATGGGGAGATTTATTTTCTCAACGGTTTTAATATTTTCTTTTTTATTAGTTTTCATATAAAAATATAATGTCTTTAATATATTTTTATTTGTCATTTGATTTATCACAAATATAATTCGCAATTGTAAAATTTCGCATGACTCCCTAATCACTGTCATAACCCAACAATTTGAACCTTAAATTCTAGCTAAACACCAAATGGTACGGTAGAGCGAGGAAGATTTTTGAGTCAAAGTACGCGTAGAGCAGACCACCTGATTCTAGTAAAACTTCGTTTTCTAGAAATTATTATAGGACTAAAAGTCGTTTGATGTTGGTCGGTTGTTTAATTTCTAATTTTTCTGTACAACACATGGTTGGATATTTAGGTACTACTGTATCATTACCAGCTGCTACATTTTCTCATTTGAAATGAAAATTTGACTTTTCAAAAGATGCCTGGACATACCTGAAAAAGTGAAAATTAAACAGAAAAAGAAAAAGTTGGACATGTAACATTTTGTGTGTTGATGGTTCGATGCAACAAAGATTCCAATTCTGTGTATCAGGTTAAGCAAGTCTACTTATACATTCTATCTGAGCCCAGCTAATTCATTCATAGGACGAGATAAGCCCTAAAAAATCATATCCTTACTTATATTAACCTCTCCAGTCATGCAAGGGATTTCGATTCTTGGGTTACGTTATCATGGTAAACAAAGTAGAGGGGATAAAAAGTATTTGGTGATTTTGTTTTTTAGTTTTTTTCTTTGGGAAAATGTGAATTTTCTTTTGCTTAATTACTTTCAGGTTCTGAGATTGGCTAAATTAGTAAATTACCATGTCTCATTGAAGCACTCATATAGTTCTGGATCTTTCGTTTGGTTACTGCGAGTGCGACTTTATAAATTAGTTCACCATATTATTAGGGTGGTTTGAGTGATAGGATAAGAATAATAATATAGAAATAAAATAGGGAGATTACTTTATCCTGTCCATTTACACTAAAATGATGGGATTAGTGTTCACTATTTACAGTTCTGGTCTGTGTCTTAAAAAGTACACTTTAGGAGACAAAAGGGGAGAAAGGGTTTCCAATTAAAAAAAGGGAACAAGGTTAAAAATTATTTTTGAACGGTGCAAAATGGTCTAACATTTCTGTCTCTTAATAATTGAGATCAAATTAGACTTTGCCGTTACAAAATTAGCTCGCTTATGCCAAATTCTCTTACGGAAGCAACTATAATACTACTATAATAGTACATCAATTAGTCTCTAATTACATAATCTAGCACCTAATGATACCTCATGTTTCAACAAGTGACAAACTTTAAATCATTTGTAAAGTTCAGAGATAAATTAGACGCTTCTTCTTTATCAACACATGCCGTTTTATACACTCCCACTTTCTATTCCACACATCTCCAAAAAAAAAAAAACATTGAAAATCCCTCATCCCTGATTTCTGATAGCTTGTTCCATGGATTTATTAAAAATAAAATAAAATAATTTTCTCGTCTTATTTGATTTCTGACCATCGATTTCTCTCGTATAATTTTTTTTTTTATTTGCTTTCTGGTAGTTTGTACATGAATGAATGGATGCCCAGAGGAACAACAATGGAGGTCAAGAAGGAGAAAGACACGTCAAAATGATGGTTGAATAACCTGATTTGTTGGTCAAATGGACGTATTCATTTTATTTGTGTGACTATAAATTGAATTTTCAAATATCTTAGAAATAGCCATATAAAAATTGATTACAACGTTTTTTTTTTTTTTTGGGATAAACTTGGAATCAAATTAGTTTTGTCACATGAAATAAAACGAGGACCTACAACATTGTTAAAAAAAATACATACTCAGATTTTTCACAAAAAAATCTCTGCACATATCCTTATTACATTACATGGTGGAGACAGAGTACACATAAATAAAATAGTACAAACACACTAGTTAGTCATTTTTATCCCCAGAAGACAAATTTAAGGAAAACAAGACCATTAGTGGAATTCCATGACTTGTCAAAAAGATAGAGCCAAGTCTCAATTTTAGCACGTGAGTTAATTGCAAAACGGGGTCCAATTTTTTAACCCGCAAAAAAGCAAATTAAAGCATCCAATTATGGAAACCATTAACCCTAAACCAAGTCATTATGACCCCACTTCCAGGTGATCTTAATACGATCCGCAAAAACAGATCTGCAGACCTTACACTTAATTATCCCCTAAACAAATTAAAGACCTTAATTAACTTCTAATCATATAATCTTCTTTGCTATGCTGTAAAGGAGTTGGCTTCTTCTTTCATCATCGCCGCTCGGATTCTATTCGCAACATGATTTGGTGTCACGCTTGTTAATTTATGATGCATCTGTTGAATTAAAAACAGACAAGATATTAGTATTAGAAAAGATATATAATTAAGCAATTAATGGTATAGTTTGATAAGCAATTAATGGAGTTCAATTTTGAATTAGTACCTGAGCAATAATAGTCATGTGTGAAGTGTTGTCGCCAAAAGGCATAACACTGCAACTAATGATAGAAAGATGAAGTTTTTCCACTTCATTGAATATTTCCTTCATTATCCCATTTTGTTTTTTGCAATAAATTCTAATCAGAATATTTCCATCTGAAGCTCTAACTTCAATATCTGGCAATGATCTATCGTCTGCGCTAACACTGGATATTTCGCCACACGACGATGAATCGTCACAACTGGAAACCAATCGAGGTCTCTTTGCTGCTGGAATCTCCGGTTGCTCGCTACATTTCTTGTTTTTTTCCTCAAGTGTTTTTACTTGTTCTTCCAGCTGTTTTATATATTGGATAGCATCTCCCAGTACTGTTGCTTTGTCCAACTGTTAAGAATAACACCCAAAAAACACGATCAAGAGGGCTTCAATTTAATTATATATACATATTTATGATGGTTTTTCAATCATCAGAACAAAAATCTGGTAAATTCTTATTTAACTAGCTAATTTTTGACAAGATGTAGTTTATTTGAAGATTGCACTATCACAATTAAGATAATTGGTGCCTGTTTTGGCATGAATAATTTTTATTTTATTCCAGAAAATTAAACTCCTTGGACATAGAATTGATGAGACACACTATTCCAGAATTTAACTTTAGAAGTTGAATTTGGGAATTCAAAAAACCCCAAAATTTTGTTTTTCACTCCAAAGAACTCATAAAAAATAAAAATAAAAACAATTCCAAATTGTATACATGAAATGTTCTTTCCTTTTTCAGGTAGCTAGCACAAATTAGTTATTCAAGCAGGAATATATATAATTACCTTCTTTAGGTTGGGAATGAGGGTAGATAAAGCTATAAAACGCTGAGTTAAGCGTTCTCTCCGCTTTCTTTCAGCTAGAACGTGATCTTGTGCCTGAACACTTGTTCTATTGTAACTTTTCTTCTGATCAGTAGTAGTCGTAACAGCAGCACCAAATCCCATGGCCTCGATATCACCAAAATCAGAATCGTCCATAGAATTAACGGAAGAAGAGAAGTTTATTGTAGTTCCTGATGGAATCTCACGCTTGACGACCTTAAAGGTATTCAAATTTTCGAATTGGTTTTTAGCTGGCATTGAATTGGAGTAGCTGTGATTAGAAATTACACTGGAGGGAGGAGGAGGAGGAGAAAAAGTAGAAAAGGGCTTAGAATTGAAAGGCAATTCATTAAATGGTGTCATCGTCTGGCTCTGATTAACAAAGTTGTGATCATTCATACTGCAGCTACTCTCCTGTAATATTTGATTAAATGCTTAATAACTATCGGTACATAAAATCAAATATAATTACTACTCTTTACAACAAGGCAGTATATAAGAGTTTTCATACCATTTCAGACCACCATGTATCCATTATCGATTGGAATTTATTAAAATCGATTTGTCGTCTTCTTAGTGACTGATCAGTTTGTATCCAAGGCCGCTTAGATCCTGCTGCAAAATTCAAATCTAAATCAGTATCATACATAGATTTGTATTTATAAATGAGAAAAAAGTTAGGTCAGCTTGTAAAATGGGAAGAAGCTTAATTTACCTAATTAGTTTAGAGAGGCAAAATGCTTTAGATCTCAGATGGTGTCAGATGGTCAAGTGTAGGAATTCTTGTGTCTTTATAGCTGCTTGAGTTGACTGCCAAAAATATGAAGAAATAAAAAGAAAATAGATTAACATGAAGTGGAAATTAAATGTTCCTCAATTATTGTGTTCACACTCTTCTCTATAATAATAATAATAATAATAATAGGAATACTAGTTAAAATAATATATATAATATAAGAATAAGCACATGTTAAAAGTTTTGATGGTGGAAACTTCTTCGTTTTATCATCAGATTCCAATCTACTTTACTTTAATCTCTGTTGCCTCCTTAGTATTATCTTTTTGACCATCTAGCTCCAGTTTTCTGGGAAAATGGCAATTTATATAGCGCTTCAATTTTGAGACCAATCTGAATCTGACTCTTTTATGCGCGTAACGTAACGTTGATGTCAAAAATTTCCTTCAATTAAAACTGTGTTGTTTTACTAATACTACAATTTACAACCAGTGGAGTAGTTACATTGATGGAAGCGTGATCACTCAAAATTTCGTTGAAAAATTATACTATGCATATAGAAAATAATGTTGTGTATATAGGTCGAAAACAACTTTTTAGAAATATATATAAATATATATATATATATACACTAAAATTTCTACCTTGTCACTGATTACAACCTCCTATTACAAATAAAGATATTTATATATTTTGATTTTAATAGAATATATAACGTAATTATTAAGATGATTCAAGTATAAAAATGGTCAATTGTGTTGAGTTTCAGGAAAGCTAGGGTGAATCTCAGTTCACCATTGATGAAGCTTCGAGAAACAGAGAGATGGAGAAGAAAGAGTTCTGAGACTGATTGAAGAATTAGGGAAACTGAAGTGTTGAATTAATCTCAACTGAGTCTTTACAATGTATAGAGATAAAAGAGAATCATCTCAACAAACTATTCTAACAAACATAGTAACTAACTCTAAGCCGTATTAACTAACTATCAACAGTAATGAACAGTAATAACTAACTACTAATTAACTTGTCGACTAATTATTAATTAGATTAAGGACTAAGATGTAATCAATCTCAACACCCCCCCTCAAGTTGGAGGTGAGTAGCTCACATCCAACTTGTGCAAAATGATAGAATGTTTTGAGCTTGGTAATGGCTTGGTCAGAACATCAGCTAACTGTTCCTCAGTTGATATATGGTGAAGTTCAATAAGACCTTCCTGCAATTTTTCCCTAACAAAATGACAGTCCACTTTGATATGCTTTGTTCTCTCATGAAACATAGGATTTCTTGCAATATGAACAGTTGTCTGGCTGTCACAGAACACATGAATAGGTAGATTACATGGCACATGTAGTTCAGTCATCAATCTTTCCAGCCACACCAATTCTCCAACTACCTTCCGGACAGCTCTGTATTCAGCTTCTGCTGAGGACAAAGAAATGGTTGTTTGCTTCTTAGATTTCCAACAAATAGGACTGTCTCCCATCAACATAATGTATCCACTCACTGACCTTCTAGAATCAGGGCATGCAGCCCAATCTGAATCACAGTAGGCAGTGACAGTGTAGTTCTTATCATTGGATAAGAAAATCCCTAGACAAGGATCACTCTTGAGATACCTCAAAACATGATATGCAGCTTGAAGATGTAGTTCCCTAGGAGATTGAAGAAACTGGCTAAGATGCTGGACACTGAATGCTATATCTATCTTGATATGTGTCAAGAAGTTCAGTTTTCCCACCATCTTTATGTAGTGTGTAGGATCCTTCAGTAGTACCCCATCATTGGCCTTTTGTTTAACTGTGGACTCAAGAGGAGACATAACTGGTCTATATGAGGAACAATCAAACTCTTTCAACAAATCAATAGTAAATTTCCTTTGTGAAATCAAAACTCCAATTTCCTTGTAAAGGATCTCTAATCCCAGAAAATAATGGAGCTTCCCTAGATTTTTTATCTTGAATTTATCATGAAGAAAACATCTAAAAGGACTAATCTCACCAACATCAATTCCTGTCAACACTATATCATCAACATATACAGCTATAAATACAAGGGAAGTACCAGTCTTTTTGAAAAATAAGGAATAATCACTGTCTAAGTGAGTGTACCCTCTTGAGAAAAGGACTTGAGCTAGTTTATCATACCATTGCCTACTTGCTTGTTTGAGACCATATAGAGACTTTTTGAGCTTGCAACACATGCCTGAATCATCTACTAGCAGTCCTTGAGGTATGGTCATGTAAACTTCTTCAGATAGATCTCCATGAAGGAAAACATTATTGACATCCAACTGATACATGTCCCAACCCTTCTTCACAACTGTGCTAATTAGGGCCCTCACTGTAGTCATTTTGGAGAAAATGTTTCATTGTAGTCAACACCTGCATGTTGAGTGTAACCTTTTACCACAAGTCTGGCCTTGTATCTTTCCACTGAACATCAGCTTTGTGTTTGATTTTGTATACCCATTTGCATCTTATTGCTTTCTTCCCTGCAGGTAACTTAACAAGCTCTCCAGTACTGTTAGCATATAAAGCTTCAAATTCAAATGTCATTGTTGTTTGCCAGGCAGGATCTACCACCGCTTCTTCATATGAAGAAGGTTCATTGTCATGTGAAATATTGTTAACCAGATGTTAACTGTCTGGACTAAAATTGGTGAGGGAGGTGTGATGAGTAAAGTGATGAGATGGTAATGGTGATGAGGTTGAAGCTTCAGATGAAGGTAAAGAGTATTAATATTCTTTAAGGTAGGCAGGGATGGTATGTGATCTTGTAGATCTTCTAAGATTGTGGTGTTGATTTTAATGTGCAATGGTGTTTGGTAAGTCTGTTACACCAGGATCACATGGTGGTGGTGAGGTGTTGCTGTGAGGAAGTGGAGTTGGTGGTAATGGCGGGGCAGTATCAGTGACATTATTAATGGTATCATCATCCAACACATTAACTTTGTTAAAAGAACTGTTAACAGAATTCAACATGTTTGAATTTATGGTGAGCTGTTTTAATATTGTGGCAAAACAAGAGTTTGGCTCAGAAATAAAACAAGGAAAAACATTTTCACAAAAAAACACATCCCTGGAAACATGTATTCTTTTGGTGCTCAAGTCTAAAACCTTGTACCTATTTGTGTTGAAAGGATATCCCACAAAGATGTGTGGTGTGGATCTGGGGTCAAACTTGCTGTTGTGAGTTGTGATTGTAGGAAAACAAAGACATCCAAAAGATCTTAGGTGAGAATACAAGGGTTGTTTATTATATAATTTCTCAAATGGAGTCTTGTCATGGAGTGTTGAGTTGGGAAGTCTATTAATAAGATAAGTTGTTGTGAGGATACACTCTCCCCAATATTTGTTAGGCAGTTTGGACTGATTCAACAATGCTCTAGCAACTTCTAGAAGATGTTTATGCTTTCTTTCTACCAAACCATTTTGTTGTGGTGTATATGAACATGTTTTCTCGTGTATTATGCCTTTATTTTGAAGGTAGACGTTAGTTTCAGTATTGAGGAATTCTGATCCATTGTCAGTTCTGATAGTTTTAACAGTGGTTTGAAACTGGTTCTCCACAAGAGAGACAAAATTCTTTATAGTTTGGAGTGTATTGTTTTTGCAGGGGAGGAGTTGAGTTCAGGTTGACCCACTGAAATCATCTACAATGGTCAGGAAATATTTGTAGCCATTGTGGGTGGTTTCATGGTAAGGTCCCTATAAGTCTAGGTGAAGAAAGTCAAAAGGCTTGTTTCTAGAAGAAATGGTCTTTGTTGGGAAATGGGATCTTGTTTGTCTGGCCATGGGACATATAGAACATACAAAAGGTTGTTTGTGTGAAAAGGGTATTGGAATAAAAGAGATTCCTTTCATCTTTATAAAGGGTATATGGCCTAGCCTGTTGTGCCATAAAAGATCAACATTATTACCATGAGACATGCATGATGTGAGAGGTTGAGCAGAAGTAGAAATAGAATGAGAATTGAAAATAGGAACTGCAACTTTATTTCTTTCACTACAAGACAGGCCAGAAATATCACACAAAGAGTTACATGATGTTGAATTAGAACCAGAATTACTACACAAAGAGTTACATGTTGCATTACTTAAACTCTTGGAAATGACAAGCAATGAAAAATCATGTGATTCATTTGCTTGAACATTAAGACTGGAACAAGGAGTATGACACTTTGAGCATAAGAAATATAGTCCACTTTGTGCTCTATCAATCTCCAGAGGGCTCTTCATTGAAGGGCCCTGCATCAAACAAGAAGAGGAATTGAAACTAATGACACCTTTAAAATGAGAGACTAAACAATGTACTGAATTCAAGTTGAACTTAAAACTTGGAGTAAACAGAACTTTATACAAGGTTAAGGAAGGATTCAAACAGACATCACCAATTTCTGTCACTTTTACTCTATAGCCATTGGTAGATTTACTAGGAAATGGTAAGGTAATGGTCTGACATTGGTTAACAAATTTTTGTTGAAAGTCATGTGATCTGAGGCATCAGAGTCTATGATCTAGGATTCAACAGATGGATTAAAACATTTACATGACAATGTACCAACATCAGTAATTGAAGAGGAACAATTTAGAATTCCTGCAAAGTTTGCAGCTCCCCAAAAAATGTTGTTTGCAGCATCTCTAGCTATGTTTGCATTGTTGTTTCCTCCTTGGACCTGAATATTTTCCAATAGACTCACCAACTGCTCAAGATGTTGCTTAGTTAAAACTGGAGTTTTCTTCTCATGATATCTATCTTCACTTCCTTCATGACCTTTTCCTTTGTGTGTAGCAACT